AAAGGGCTTTAAAAAAGAAATACACCAAAATCCCCCCCTGGAAAATTTTTTTTTTTTTTTTTTTTTTTTTTTTTACTCTAAGCCACGTCAGCTGTGGAACTCATTGCCACAGGATGTGGGGAACAACTAAAAGATGCTCAATGAGCCTGGGAAAATCTTCCCAGTGATTCAGCCTGCAAATACTGCAGCACAGGGAGCAGCTGGGTTCTGCTCGGAGTGAGAGCCTGAAAGGATCCAGTCCCTTCCTGCCTGAGTGGGTGATACAATTTCACCACATTGAGATGCAAAAGCCTTTTCCAATGGCTCTGGGCTTCCTCCATCCCTGAGCTGTGTCCTTTCCATGTGGAACAGGCAGTGGAGGAGTTCAGTGTGAATAGTCCCCAGCTGTCAGGGTTATTCTGGATTTGGGTGATAAAGAAATAAAAAAGCTGGCTGGTGAAATGGTCTCTTGTCACCTGGGGAGTTCTATGAATTCCTGAATCCAAACAATAGCCATTGCATAAAGCATAAGGAATAGGCCTCATGATCAGCTTCTGGCACCATTCTGAGGGTAGGAGGCAAGAAAAAGGCTTTTTTCCCTTTTTCCTTGCTTATGCCACTTCTGGACCAGGGAAAAGTTGGGAAGCTCTTCTGTAGAGCACGAAGAGGGTATCAAAACACATCCCTGTGGGTGGAATGCACTGTCCAAGGTACACTGAGCTTTCCTCACTTCCACCACACCCCAGAGCTGGGCAGCAGAACAGAAATTAATTTATGCATGAGAAGAACAGCAGGACCCTGATGGAAACCCCCCTCTCTGATGGAAATACTCCCAGCAGCTAAAATGCAGGAATGGGTTGCTTTGGAGGACACTGAAAACACAGACACCTGCATTCTGACCTCTTGTGCTTCTGCACTAAAATGTGCTGCAAGAAAAAGGGGAGACACAGCTCCCCTCTTTTATCACACACAGTGAGTTTTATCAGCTTTTCTCTGCAGTTTTATCAATTCCAGTCACAGCAGAAGCAGTTTGGACAGGGCTCAGTAAATGGACCCTGATTTCCAATTAGTTTCTTTGTCATTCTTTGCCCTTCTCTCCTTGGTGCTGGCCACAGGCAGCTCCTGCTGCAGTCAGGAGGAAATAGGACAGGATATTAAACTATAAATTTCTTTGCTCACTGCCTCAGTTTCTTATCTCAGCAAAAGCACGAGTATCCTTCATCAAGATTACAGACACCACGAGGACAATCCCTGCAAAGGGCCTCAGATCATGTGAGAGGTACCCAAATTATTGCCAAGATGAGGAAGGAAATCGAGCTGCTGCTCCAGAGCAGCACTTTGTGTCACATCCTGTCCCCAAAGCTGCTGTCATAAAGGCAAAAATCATCCAGGCATCCTTTCTTTTTAATTTACTCTTTTTTCATTATTATTAGTTTTGCAGCCATGTTGTAACCTTAAGTAAAGAAACAAATTCCTGACCTCTGATAATAACCAAGAATGGTTCTTATGCACCCGCACTGATTGAATTTTTGGTTTTAATTCCCCCAAGCTCATTCAGCAGCAGTGATGCTCCTCTCACCATGAAGTGTTTGCTTTGACAGAGCTGAGAACCCCTCCAGGCATCCCAGGGAATGGTGAAAACCACTTTAAAAGGTCAGCTCAAGGTGCAGGGGCTGAAACTCACCCGGAGAAGAGTCATTGAGAGGGTTCAGGGCCGTCGCCCTCCGGATCTTCTCCAGACAAGTCTCTTGCTCCTTTTTAATGATGCAGTTGGAATGGGTTGCTGCAGCCTGAAATACAGGGGAAAACGAGAAAATAAAAAACCCAGTTACAGAAATAAACCAGTTAGTGAGGTGATCAGGAAGTGTCAGTAAGTTTTAAGAACCCACTGCAAGAAAAAAAAAAAAGAAAGAAAAATATAATTTAAAGTTGAGAAAAAACTGTGACAAACTTCATTTTCTTTCCATTTTTCCTTCTTTACTTTTACTCCTTTTTTTCCTATCAGGCCTAAGGCCTAATTCAGTAATTAAAACTCTCATAAATTATTTGGAGGGTTTATATTGTCTACCCTTCAAAATGTGATTTCTAATATGTTTGTTTTATTTTACTGAATTGCTTCTTCACATAAAGCTGAACAAGGGTATCTCTAAATACAAGAATAATTTAAAGAAGAATTAGGAAGAAATTTTGGCTTGGCCTGATCTTCCACCAGTTTCTTATGAGTATTTGCACAATTCATTAAAATCTCTCTGAAATCTAAACCAAATTAAAAGTTGTTTCTCTTATTCTGTCACCCTGTTAATTCCTCAGTGTTACTTTTACTTATTTCCAGAGAATTCAAGGCAAATTGTTTTGTCAAAAATAATACAATGTCAAATAAATCAGGCTGACGATCCAAATATTTTCTTTCTTTTTTTCTGTTTTCTACCTTTAACTCTTTAGTACAGCCAAGTACAAGAAAAAAAGTAAAGGGGGGAAAAGGAAGGGAATACAAAATTTGTTTATGAGAGGAACATTGCAGCCAATACAATCCAGGCAATCCCAAAGCAGCAGCAAAATAAGGATGTGACCCATTTCTGGAAATCAATACAGGATTTCATTCCTATAGCAGACAGTGGCCAGGGAATATCAATTAAAGGAGAATAAAACCTCAGATTTCATGAGATCACTTTATAGGGACAGGGCTGAGGTTCAAATCCCACCCAGTGGAAAACACCATGAAAATCAGTGCCCTGGCTGAAGGTGATTTGTTAGATTATTCCCTTTTCTGACCCAGAGCTGGTGCAAATGAGAGGTGTTTTTAAAACTTTTATTCCATTTTCAATCTCATATGAAGGGCGAGACAATACAGATGTTATAATTCACACCACCACAATCAGAATTACAACTTGCAAATTTGTAATGTATTTTTTAAAACACTTTTAACGTAAATACATTCCCACAAGAATTACTAATACTTCACAACAAAAACACGACTTTCTAATTATAAACAAAGACAGTAATAAAATTCTTAAACTTTCAGTTTTTCCAACTGTCATCTCAACAAATTATAATGACGAACTGATAATTTCAGCTTCTACTTACAATACTCCAATAATAATTCAACCAAATACAACAATAACTATTACTATTGCATTACCAATATAAACAGGTTCTATACCAAAAAATACCTTGTAAAAATGTTAACCTAATACCTAATGTCCTTCAGATAAAATGTATCAGCAATGAACAACAAAAGCTAACAGACAATCTAACACACTTTAGTAAAACAATTCATATTACAAGTGTACTAAACACAAAACCAAGCATCACTGATTTTAACCAAACAATTAAAATTTAGTAACACACATAAATACTGTCACAAAAATTTAAAAAGCTACCTTATATCTACAGAATAAATTCATAATTATTGTTACAAATCCCAAAAAAACCCAACAAGCATCCATCCCTTCATAATACAAAAATCCATCACAATATTAAAAAATAGTATTATCCCAATAGAAAACAAAAATGAAAGCGAATTTTTAATAAAAGCTGTAATAACTGTGGTTCACTGGAGCACTTTTGGTATTTTATTTCCCATCCCATTTCCTTCACTCTTGACTAAGGAAAACCACAGAGGAAGTGGTGTGGGACCTGCTTTCCTTTATCTGCTAAGCAAACAGGGACAGAAATCCCCACATTTAAGCTACTCTGGGTTCTTTTGGAGCCCCATCCGCAGAGTTCAGCTTTCCTTCCCTCACATCCCAGGGAATGGAGTGAACACTTTGGATCAGGGATGCACCACCCAACAAAACCTGAGAGCAAATCTCATGGTGAAATCCTTTCAGCAGCTGAAGTGGCTTATAAAAAACAGGGAGAGAAACTTCTGCACAGGCAGATAGTGACAGGACAAGAGAAATGGTTTTAAAATAAAACAGGGGAGATTCAGATCAAGACTTAGGAAGGAATTGTGCCCTGTGAGGGTGGGAACCTGGCACAGGGTGCCCAGAGAAGCTGTGGCTGCCCCTGGATCCCTGGAAGTGTCCAAGGCCAGGCTGGACAGGGCTTGGAGCACCCAGGGATGGTGGAAGGTGTCCCTGCCATGGCAGGCATGGAATGAAATTTATCTGCAAGGTCCTTTCCAACCCACACTGTTCAGTGACTCTGTAATAATCCAGTTTGATGGTGCTTGTGCTGTGCTTTTGTTTGTGTGATGATGCTCTGAACCATCTGCACACTTTTTTTTTTGGAATTGTTAAAAGCCATCCCTGCTATTTCAAGGACAGACAGGGTTTCCTGATGAACTCTCCTGGAAAGCTTTCCTCACCATTTGTAGGAACTCATAATGCTGCACAGTTTCATCATCTCCAAGATCCCAGTAATAAATTTCAGCTTTTTCCCCCAGGGGAAACACCAGGCACAACCATATTAGATTTGTTTGTCTTCAAAACAAACACAGTTCTGTTTTAAGGGCTCCCAAGTGCCTGGAAAAGATAAATTGTCACAGATCTCCAGGATCTCCCAAGAACAGAAGGGCTTTTGCTACATCTAAGCATCCCCAAAGATAGAGAAAACTGCATTGGCTGACATTCAAGTTCTTAGAATATATATAAAAAAAAGAAAAGATAAAAGGGAAATAGCAAGAAAAACAGAGTTCTGCAGTTAGTGCAGGTTCACCCTCCAGAGTTGCCCAGGTCAGGAGTGTCCAGGGGTTGTCTCAACACATAAATGTGGCAGTTTCTATGCAGTTCACCAGGTACAGATAAGAAAATGTGTCATTTAGTAATAATAGTTATTATTGTTAATATGAATATTGATGATGATGATGATAATAATAATAATAATAATAATAATAATAATAATAATAACGAGGATTATGCATTTTCTATGCAAGCAGGATGTGACTAAACAAAAGGAAATATTTCTTCACACACTTCCTGTTAACTTGCAGAACTCTTCAGCTTGAAATTGTGGATAATCAGTGCCACACATAGATGCCTATATTTATCAAAGTCCATCAAAGGATGGAGGCTAGTGAGACACCAGAACAGATTATTCCAGATTATCCAGCTGCTCCTGGGTCCCTGGAAGTGTCCAAGGCAGGCTGGACAGGGCTTAGAGCAATCTGGGATAGTGGAAGGTGTCCCTGCCATGGCAGGGCGGGAACTGGATGAGCTTTAAGGTCCCTTCCAACCCAAACCATTCCATGATTAACTTTAGATTATTAAGAAACCCACCATGCCCCTGTTCTCAGACACATTTGATAAGAAAACTTTAATTCAATCTACAGTAAAAAGACAAAAAAAGTGTGATTTATCCTTACTTTCTTTTGATATCTTCTTTGCTAGAGTTGTGTAAAAGTCAGGACATGATTGAATGAGGAGGAAGACAAAGGTTAAAAGCTCAGACTTTACTGTTCTCCTTGCAGACTGGCACACCTAGTCAGAGGTCTCTAACTAAACTGATTAAATTTAGTCAACTGTATCCCAGTAAGTCTGGCTTAGGAGGCTCAGGTGTGGACAGAGAGAGCCATGTGCTTCTCCTGTCCCTGAAGCTTTCCTTCAGCTTTCACTGTTGCCACAATATTCTGATGTGACTTCCCATCACCATTTTCATGCCATTTCGTAGCAATTCATCAACAGATTTAAAAAAATTAATTCTGGGGAATGTGGAAACCAAAACAGAAAGCAAAGGAGGAAGCATCAACGACAGTGTCAGAGGAGAGAACAGGTGCTGCCTGTCATCCCTGCTAACAAGCAATTCCATACCTGGGAAAATCAAAAAGGCTTGATTTGTTCATAACAAAAGGCATTATTATTGCTGCTTTAATTCAAGGGATGGCACTACAAAAAAATAAAACTATTTATTGCTCAGATAAATGTCAGTCTCAGAGGCCATGAGATTTTAGAGGAGCAAGCAGTCAGCCATAGCTCAAAGTAGTCACAAGTTTTTTGTTACGAGATGATACAGAACTTTCTATCTCAATGGACAGTTGTCACAAAGTTTACTTTGCTTTTCTAACCCATCACCTTCACTTAATTTTGCTGCACTGCAGATACTTTCATCCAATGGGCTTCTGTCATACTTGCAAACATCAGCTTCTATTATAACCTCTAAATTCTTAGCTTACTCTATACATCCACATTACTACATTATAAACCCTTCACCATCTTATTAATACAGTTTTTAACTTACTTAAGGCATATTCTTACTTACAACTACAGAAACATAAGTTCATGATTTTCCTGCTTTATATCTGTGTACTGTATTTTTACATTAATCCAAGCTTCTACCAAGGGTGCCAATCAGACCCTCCCGTGCCTGTGGAAGTTTCTGTTTTTCCATTCCCACAAAAAGGTTTGTCTGTTGAATGCAGAGATGCTTTAACGTCATCACATTTTTCTGAAAGGATCCAGGGGTTTGGTGTTTCTCCACTGACCATGGAGTGGCAGAACCTTTAATCTGCCAAGCCAGGCTTCAACAAGTGAAGGCTGAGCCTGATTCCAATGGCAGTGCAAGCCTGAACTCCAGGCTTTGAGATCCCATTTCTTCTGCCTCGAGGACATTTGCAATTTCCTGCACTCAGCAGAGACAGCCTGGTCTCAGTTTCCCAGAAGAGATCAGTGATATGTGCAGTTAAAGAGTGTTTTGACACATACCAGAAAAAATCAAGAATCCAAGTCGATAGTGCATGAAATTCACAGGTCTCTGAAAAATTTATTACTCTCAATGAAGTGAAAAACTCTGACTCACATCAGTTTAGAAAATGTGTATATTCATTTAGATACAGAGACAGTAAAAGACAGTG